TGGTTTTCCTAACTTAATACTTCATTCATGTCTTCCACAAAGGGACACATGGCTCATTCATCCAAACTCTCATAGCTATTCAGTGTGCTCTCACACTTGGACTTCCTACACACACTCACTCCACCACTCTCTTAGAAACCAAAGTTCAATTGTAAGAAAATTGCCTAACTCTCTAGCTCTGTATCCTTGTAGAAACATGGCAGCTTGTCTCTAACATACCTGCTTTATGCACCTCTAGGCAAGGACAAATGGGTGTTTGTATAGGTGGATGCAGATCCACAACTGTAAAAGTTTCTAACCAGATGGAGAACAAATATGTTGGGATAAAGAAATACAGTGATTGGGGCACCTAGCTGGCTTGGTCGGCAGAGCATGAGACCCTTGATATTGGGGTTGTGAGTTCAACTCCCATGTTGGGTGTAGAGATTACATAAAAATAAAATCTTTTTTAAAAAAAGAAAGAAATACAGTGATGAAAAGAAAAGAAGGTAGAGGGGTGAATATCTCTCTAATATCATGAAAGAGTGACTGCCCTCTTCCTTCACTGTATTAATAAGTGGTTTATGAAATTCTTAGGGAGTTTAATATACTTATATAGGGGAAGCATTCAGGTATTCAGCATGTTTGATATTTATTTTTACATAATCTCATAAAGTGTCCAATTATGTAGAGGGTATTATCACCTATTAATCAGCCTCAGATTCAATCCACTGAAAACTCCCCTAAAATGTCTATACAACCCACTGTCAAAACTACTCATACTATTGTTTTTAAAAAACGTCTCTCAAAGATATATTATCTACCCAATCATCTGTCGGTCTACCATCAAGTGAGGATTAGCATCCCAAATGCTTCCTGAATCTGCCTTCATCCCCACTCTCTGCATTAGTTCAGCTTTCCATCGGCTGCTATCCAGATCCTTGCAATAGTTTCAGAGCTGGTCACCCTGCCTTGAGTTTTGTCACCCCCCAAATCCATCATTCACATTGCCATCAGAGAACTCCATCTGAACTACCAATTGACTTGTGTCAGTTACTCAAGACCCTGATTAAAATGTTATTTTGTAACCTTTTACCTGGCCTGCCACATCTTTTAGAACTTATTTCCTTATCCTCATTCTTAGCACTCATGACCTGCCGTCCTTCAATCCCAGCAAATATAAAATTTCACTGGTCCCTCAGTTTGGACTACCTGGCACTCAGCTTTCCCCATCGACTCCAATCCCACTCTCTCCATCCACCCCCCCCAGCACCTTCTTTCTTTGTGCTTTAATAGCATCCTGTAGATAGCTCCATCACAACAGCCGCCATGTTGTTTAGAATAGTCAATTCATATACTGTTCTTCTTTATTAGTCTATCAGTTCCTAAAGAGCAAAAATCTGTATCTGACATTTGAATTCTCAGTGGGTACCATGCATCTAGTATATAGTAGATGATCTCTCTACCAGGACCTTGTTTCTGCTAACTTTCCACTCTATTCCCAAAGTTAATAAATAAAAGGCAAACAAAAATCTGCCCTTTAACATACTGTGAAGCTTTTTTAAAAATTTTATTTATTTAAAATATTTATTTATTCTTGGGAAAGCACAAGTGGGGGAGGGGCAGGGGTAGATGGGGACAGAAGATCTGAAGCAGGCTCTGCACTCACAGGAGAGAGCCTGATGTGGAGCTGGAACTCACCAACCATGAGATCATGACCTGTGCTGAAGTCCAAGGCTTAACCAAATGAGCCATCCAGACTCCCCTTATACTGTGAAATTTATGCACTCTTTTACTTTTTTTTTTAAATTTCAGCTTCTGGGATGATCTGGATATTTGGTACAATTCAAACCCATAAATTCACTCCTGACCTCTTGCCAAATCCTTTGGCTTTTCACAGTTCCCTATTCTCTTGCAGGCTTCAACTACTGTCCATTTTCTCCTTAAACTACCTTCCTTTTTTTATTGTTGTTTTTTTTTCTTTCTTAAATAGTTTATTGTTAAGTTGGTTTCTGTATAACACCCAGTGCTCATCCCAACAAGTGCCCTCCTCCATGCCCATCGCCCTCCTTCCCCTCTCCTCCACCCCCCCTCAGCCCTGTTTGTTCTCAGCATTCAAGAATCTCTCATGGTTTGCCTCCCTCCCTCTTCCCAACTATTTTTCCCCTTCTTCTCCTGCTTCATCCTCCATTAACTTCCTCCTAATCCACCTATATGTGCAAACATATGGTATTTGTCCTTTGCCTGACTTATTTTGCTCAGCATAACACCCTCAAGGTCCATCCATGTTGCTACACATGGCCAGATTTCATTCTTTCTCATTGCCATGTAGTATTCCATTATATAGATAAACCCCAACTTCTTGATCCATTTGTCAGTTGATGGACACTTAGGTTCTTTCCATGTTTTGGCTATTGTTGAGAGTGCTGCTATGAACACTGGGGTATATGTGTCCCTATGCATGAGCACTCCCGTGCCCCTTGGGTAAATTCCTAGCAGTGCTACTGCTGGGTCATAGGGGAGTTCTATTGTTAATTTTTTGAGGTACCTCCATACTGTTTTCCAGAGGGGTTGCACCAGCCCCCTGGTGTACCAACATTGTAGGAGGGTGCCCATTTCTCCACATCCTCACCAGCATCTGTAGTCTCCTGATTTGTTCATTTTAGACACTCTGACCGGCATGAGGTGGTATCTCAGTATGGTTTTGATTTGTATTACCCTGATGAAGAGGGAAGCTGAGCATCGTTTCATGTGTCTGTTGGCCATCTGGATGTCCTCTTTGGAGAAGTGTCTGTTCATGTCTTCTGCCCATTTCTTCACTGGATTATTTGTTTTTCAGGTGTGGAGTTTAATGAGTTCCTTATAGATATTGGATACTGGCCTTTATCTGATATGTCATTTGCAACTATCTTTTCCTATCTGTCAGTTGCCTATTAGTTTTATTGATTGTTTCCTTTGCTGTGCAGAAGTTTCCATAAACTACCTTCTAGGACTTCACACCATTGTCAGGAATTGTCTGCTCTGGATTCAGATGCCTCATTGCCTTGACTAAATTAACTTACTCACCAAAAGAGTAAACACATTCCCTTCTGCACTTTTGGACTGTCTTGCTATTTGTGTTAGTAGCTAACTCAACAAATAATCTTATCTTGTGAGAGTCCCCTATTGATGTAAGAACTTCTTCAAATTTAATGTCATTGTAGGTTAACTAAGATACAAGTTTCTCCCCTAACCCTAGGTCTGGTACAGTTGAAATTAAGCATCCTTTTCTCTCATCATTTCAGACTCTGATACGGACATAGTTTTGAGGGGAGGGAGGTCATACCAAAAGGTTTTTCTTTTTTCTTGTTAATGTTGTTTATTAGCAAGTGGTTTTCAAGCAACTCTGTTCTCTCCCTAATTCTCCACTTCCCACTACAACTACATTTTCCAAGAATCCCTGTGGAAAGTAAGTGGAAGAGGAAGCCAATATGTGGGGATGCGGCCTTGTAGCTCATTTAGCCTCAAATTTATTTTTAAATGTACTTAAAAGATTATCTGAGGAAATAGAGACGTATATATTGGTGCCAAAATATGCAGGTACATGGGTTTCACCTCTTTTAAGGGCCATTAGGTTTTCCTGTGAAAGCGTGGGGCGGGGTCAAACCTTTTCCTTACAACAGTACTACCTGGCGTACAACCAACCCCAGCAGCGGGGACGGTAATACAGGCAGGCTGTACTTAAAGGCAGAAAGCGCAGTAGTCTTCCCTTTTCTGTGATCTTGGGCAAGTCACGAAATTTTGGGCTTATTTGTTGCTGAATGGCAATAACCTTACTGGGTTAATGAAAAAGTAAATGGAATTTACTTAGGTTCTTCTAACCTAAGAAGAACTCTGAGAAATAACAACTCCGGTTTTGTGAACCAGGATGAGGAGCAGCCGCATGCCCGCCGGCCGGGGTTATCCTCAGCCACTAGCTCGGGAGCCGCCTCACGGACAGCCGCCACCGGCGGCTGCAGCTTGTCTCCATGGCAACCGCTCCCTCAACCCGGGCCCGGCCCCCAACCCTGCCGCGGGGACCGGAAGCAGCTTCCGACCCCGCGCTTCCCCGGCATCTTCCGGATAACGCGGGGTCGCTCTTCCTCGTCTGGAGGTGAGAGTCGAGGACTCCTCTGAGCCCCTAGGCTGCGGGGAGAAGCGTCTTCACCCAGGGTTGGGAGGAGGTGCTCGCGGACCTCGGCGACGCCCCGAGGCAGCCCTCCCGGCCCCACACAACCCCTCTTCACGCCCGCTCCTGTCGTCCCCCGGCGTTTCCCTCAGCCCTTACCTGGTCCTGCACCTCCCGGCCCGCGAGTCTGCACAGCCCTCCCGTCGTCCTCGAGCAGCGCCGCGGCGCCTGCCACCGCAGCCGAACCCACTTGGCTCCCCGCCGGCGCGCGCTCGCCTGGCCTCCGCGCGGCGTCCTCAACGCCCGCGTGCGGCCCGCGATCTCGCGGGAGAGGTCCCGCGCGGGAGAGGCGTGGGCGGGGTGGGGCAGGTGGGCTACGCGTCTGGGGCTCCTCCCGCGCCAACCCTCGGCGAGCCGGCCCCACCGGAGGAGGGGTGTTGCAGTGAGAGGTGGTCCTCCCCCGAAGCACCCCGTTTTCCGGGCTCTCGGCGAAGCCATCCTCCTCCCCCCACCCCCGCCGGGGAGAGAGCCCGTTGGTCACAGGCACGCGTGCGGTGTTGGCGGTTCGGTCTCCCGGTCTCCAGTATAGCGCCGAGAGCAGCTGTGGAGGTGGCACAGGGCTGCCGGTCACTCTCTCCGTGACTTCCAGAGGCTTTAAGTTTAGAGTCCCTCAATGTAACGCTCCCAAACGGCTTTCCAAACTCAGGGCCTCAACCCTTCCCGCTGCCCAGGTCTCGACCCTAGATTCTGGCCCCGCCCAGGAGCACCTGGGTCTGCTGATCCTTCTCGGCACCGAGACCCTGCCTCCGGCCTCTTGACCACGCAGCACCGTGGGTGAGTGGATGGCCCGGAATCAGGCCCCATCCCTGCCCCTTTGCCCGTGGTCACGCTACCTGAGCTTGGCAGGCTCCTCATCCACAGTGTACATGAAAGTAAGCGTACAGGACTTTTTGAGTATTTAAAGGAGTTTCTATTTAAGGTGCTGAGAACAATGCTTGGCACATAGCAAATTCTCTGTGTGTCAGCTGTTATCGTTTGCTGCATAACAATCACTGTACGTACCGTTCTTTTATTTACGTGGTAACGTTGTCTCTCACCTGCTGGAGTTTTAAGAAGCCACGGATTTTGTTCAGGTCACTACTGTATCTTGGGTACCTCTAACAGTGCTTGATGAAGGGCGGGGGAGGAGCGGTGATGGTAGCCTGCATAAAAAAGAAAAATAGGGGCCCCTATAAGATTTTGTAATTAGCCATCAGTGACCAGTGATGCATCTACTAAAATAGTGCTAACAGTGTCTTCCACCCCCTTCCTGCTAACAAGTTCATGCTACTTGGAGAAATTACATCACTAAGTTGCTGTTGACGTTGTGAATTGAACAGTCTTTTCAGAAATCCATTTGGTAGTACCTAGCAAGACATCTGTTACTCTCCTTTGACCCCAACAAGCCAAGTCCTTGGGATATCCTTGAATAATTTGAAAGGAGAAAAATATATTCCTGAAAATTTGCCTTCCAGCATTATTTATGGTAGTAAAAATTAGAAACAACCTACATATTCTACAATAAAGTGATTGGTAACTAATACAGATGTAATGGTTGGGAAGTAGAAGTGAATATGAAAAAATAGAAGCACATTAAGATGGAGAAATATACAATTACTCTTTCTTTTGAATAGCTCCTTTACTGTCTAAATAGTATTGTCTTAATGCTATTCAGTAGTATTAAACAATGCTTTATTTAATACTGTTTAATAGTAAGTGTTGAAAAAAATCCACACGAATACTCTCATGAGACTTTTTCTTAATGCTTTTTGCAGCAAGCTAGAGAAAATTAATTGGCTCTTTGAGCTTTCCCCAGAGTCATAATTTTTCTCAAGCTTCCCCTATTTCTGTTCTCCAGGAGTTCCTGCACAATCCTGGCTGATCTCATTGTGATATTTAGCCAGCCTTGTGTGCAGGACTTGCAGAATAATTTGGGAATTACTCATGCATATGAATTAATGCCATCTTAGTTCTTCAGTTCTCTTAAGAAAGTATTCTTTGAAAGCATGGTTTATGTTAAGATTAAGGGCAGTACTTTCTGTAATAGTGTTATGTTTCTTTGTTTTTAAAATTTTTAAAGTTTATGTATTTTGAGCATGCATGGGGGAGGGGCAGAGATGGAGGGAGGGAGAGAGAGAGAATCCCAAGCCAGCTCTGCAGGCCTTGATCCCATGAACCATGAAATCATGACCTAAGCTGAAATCAGGAGTCAGAGACTTAACCTTCTGAGCAACCAGGCACCCCTAGTGTTATGTTTCTAGCGTATTCTCAGAAACATGTGTCTGTGTCTTGTTTCCACCTGTTTGTTTAATCATATTTAAGGAATATCCTTAAGGACAGCTCACCTCCCTGAAGATTAAAGCCTACTTATTTATTCCCAGTCCAAATGTCTGCAAAATTGACAAAGTCCTCACTCCTTCCACAACCTTCAGAGGAGTCTGACAGCATTGTGATAGTGAAGATGGAAGAGGAAGAGCAGATCTGCGATCTGGACTCCAGCCTCTCCTGGAGCACCTGCTGCAACCCAGAGACCTTCCGCCAGCGGTTCAGGCATTTTGGGTACCAGGAGTCCCCTGGGCCCCGGGAGGCTCTGAACCGGCTCCGGAAGCTTTGCCGTCAGTGGCTGAGGCCCGAGGTCAACTCCAAGGAGCAGATCCTGGAGCTGCTGGTGCTGGAGCAGTTCCTGGCCATCCTGCCTGAGGAGCTGCAGGCCTGGCTGCGAGAGCACCAGCCTGAGAATGGAGAGCAAGCTGTGACTATGCTGGAGGAGCTGGAGAAGGAGCTTGATGGGCCAGCTGAGCAGGTAAAAAGGCGTCTTGCAGGGATGGGCAGCCAAGTTGGCTCAGAAGCTCCGGGCCATCACTGGGGTAGAGCTCTCAAACTGTACTCCCATTGAGCACACTAAACATGTGTGGTGGTGAACACACACCCCCAGCTGTGCCAGAAAACAGAATGTGGCTCTGCTTTCTTCCTCCCTTTTCCTGTGTCCCAGGATATTGTCTACATAGCTGCTTCTCTGTTATTTTATCCCAAAGTCCCAACATGGGTCTCTTCTTCAGCCTCATGTATACCTAATGCTTTCAGGTCTTTTTTGGACAAAATGAGGACATGCTTGCAGAGAAGTTGACACCTTGGGAAATTCATCAGGAGTCACCAAGTAGCCAGATCAAGCCCATAAAGAAGCAACTATCATTAACATCACGGGAGTTTCACTCAAGACAAAAAGGTGAGGGCAGGATTCAGTTCATGGTGGGGGACAAAGATGGCCTCTCACCTGACCACATACATCTCAGCTACATTCTGTAAGAGGTCTCAGATCTCCCCTCCTGTCTCTTCTTCACAGTGGGAACTTCCACCATTATATGTTGTGCTAATGATAACTCTCAGTATTTTGTTCTTGTTTCTTACCCATGGAGTCTTATAATACCTTTCAGATTTTTAAATCCTTGACATCTCCATGGGAATTTTCAAACCTTTCTTTAAGAATCATGACCCTTTTTGGGGTGCCTGGGTGGCCCAGTCAGTTAAGCATCTGACTTTGGCTCAGGTCATGATCTCAGTTTGTGAGTTCAAGCCCTACATCAGGCTTGTTGCTGTCAACCCAGAGCCTGCTTTGGATCTTCTGTCCCTCTCTCTGCCCCTCCCCCACTCACTCTCTCTCTCTCTCTCATAAATAAACATTAAAAAGAAAAATAAGCACGACCCTTTTCTCAAATGAAATTTTACATGGAGTTTTAGCATATAAAACAGATGAAAACACAGCTACTCTGACTGAAGCAGGAGCAAGCAGCGTTGGTTCACAGGGCACCGACTTGGCCTTGTACCCATCTCTCTTACCTTCAGGCAGCTCCTAAGGGCCCTTCTGAGGGACCATAAAGTCACAGTCTAAAGACCACTAGTCTACCTTATCATTTTCTCTTTCTTCTTGCTTGGTTACTGGTGGCATCTAGTATTAAAATCACCATACTGCTGCTAAGATGACTTTATCCTTTCGTGGTAGCTTGAATATTTTCCTCTACTCCTTCACATGCTAAACTGTCCTCTGTTGCTCATTGGCATCACTTTTTTTAAAAATGTATTTGTTAATAGAAGTAATTTTCTATTTATTATTTTTTCAAATATAATTTATTGTCAAGTTAGCTAACATATATAGTATACAGTGTGCTCTTGGTTTCAGAGGTAGATTCCTGTGATTCATTGCTTAAATATAACACCCAGTGTTCATCCCAACAAGTGCCCTCCTCAGTGCCCATCACCCATTTTCCCTGCCACCCCGCCCCATCAACCCTTAGTTTTTTTCTCTGTATGTAAGAATCTTAGGGGTTTGCCTCCCTTCCTATTTGAAACTATTTTTTCCCCTTCCCTTCACTCATGGTCTTCTATTAAGTTTCTCAAGTTCCACATATGAGTGAAAACATACGATATCTGTCTTTCTCTGCCTGACTACTTTTACTTAGCATAATACATAATACCCTCCAGTTCCATCCACTTTGTTGCAAATGGCAGGATTTCATTCTTTCTCATTGCCAAGTAGTATTCCATTGTATATATAAACCACATCTTCTTTATCCATTCAACAGTTGATGGACATTGGGCTCTTTCCATGATTTGGCTATTGTTGAAAGCCTGCTATGAACATTGGGGTACATGTGCCCCTATGCATCAGCACTCCTGTATCCCTTGGATAAATTCCTAGTAGTGCTATTGCTGGGTCATAGGGGAGTTCTATTATTAATTTTTTTTAATGTTTTATTTATTTCTAGGAGAGAGAGAGACAGCGTGAGCAGGGGAGGGTCAGAGAGAGAGGGAGTCACAGACTGAAACAGGCTCCAGGCTCTGAGCTGGCAGTCAGCACAGAGCCCGACGCAGGGCTCGAACCCACGAACCGCGAGATCATGACCTGAGCGAAAGTCGGACACTTAACTGACTAAGCCACCCAGGCGCCCCTCTATTGTTAATTTTTTGAGGAACTTCCATACTGTTTTCTAGAGCAGCTGCACCAGTTTGCATTCCCACCAGCAGTGCATGAGGGTTCTTGTTTCTCCACATCCTCACCAACATCTTTTGTTTCCTGAGTTCATTCTAGCTACTTTGACCAGCGTGAGGTGATATCTCATCGTGGTTTTGATTTGTATTTCCCTGACAATGGAGCAATATTGAGAATCTTTTCATGTGTCTGTTGGCCATCTGAATGTCTTCTTTGGAAAAGTGTCCATTCATGTCTTCTGCCCATTTCTTCACTGGATTATTTGTTTTTCATGTGTTGAGTTTGGTAAGTTCTTGATAGATTTTGGATACTAACCCTTTATCCAACATGTGATTCACAAATATCTTCTCCCATTCCGGTTGTCTTTTAGTTTTGTTGATTGTTTCCTTTTCAGGGCAGATGCTTTTTATCTTGATGAGGTCCCAATAGTTCATTTTTGCTTTTATCTCTCTTGCCTTCAGAGGTGTGTCAAGTAGGAAATTTCTGAGGCTGAGGTCAAAGAGGTTATTATTGCCTGTTTTCTCCTCTAGGGTTTTGATGGTTTCCTGATTCACATTTAGGTCTTTAGTCCATTTTGAGTTTATTTTTGTGTATGGTGTAAGAAACTGGTCCAGTTTCATTCTTCTGTGTGTTGCTATCCAGTTCTCCCAGCACCATTTGCTAAAGAGACTGTCTTTTTTCCATTGGATGACCTTTCCTGCTTTGTCAAAGATTAGCTGGCCATACGTTTGTGTGTCCAATTCTGAGTTCTCTAGCCCATTGGTCTATGTGTCTTTTTGTGCTAATACCATACTATCTTGATCAGTACAGCTTTATAGTAGAGGCTAGTCTGGGATTGTGATGCCTCCAGCTTTGGTTTTCTTTTTCAACATTACTTTGGCTATTTGGGGTCTTTTGTGGTTCCATATAAATTTAGGATTGTTTGTTCTAGCTTTGAGAATTCCTTGCATCACTTTTTATAAAAGTGCTTCAAAATGGCTGGCATAGCTGTTTTTCCATTGCAGATACTAATATAATAAGTGCTATGGTAAAAGAGCAAAGCAGAATAAAGGGTATAAGTCTTATTAAATAAAGTGGGGACAGAGTCTTATTAAGTAAAGTGGTACAGAAGGCCTCTTTGATGAGTGACATCTGAGCATGGACCTTCCTTCTAGATGATCATGCTGGATAAAATGGGAGTCAGAAATGAAAAGGAAACCCCAACTAGGAGTATCTCCCCTTCTTCCCCCAGCACTGCTTCCTTATTCTATGGGGGTTGATCAACTAACTAAGCTTAGAGTTTTTCCAGGGGAATTTAATAAGAAAATATAGGAAAAATAAAATATAAAACTTTAGAGATTTAGAAGATATTTCTCTTACTTGATAAGTACCTGCTCCCAAGAAGCTTGTGCCAGGCACTTAACACCTCCAGTCTAGCAGTTGTCTTGACTTAACTAAGAGAAAAATGAAAAGGAATCAGAAGGGAACCGCCCCTGCCCTAGCAGCTTTTTGAGGCAGTGACTCTAAAAGTAATTAGCCTTAAAGCCAGGTCTTGGGATCCTAGTGTTGGCAAGGACTATGTTCTACCTCTGAATGTCCTCACAGAGGCCTTTTCTGTATTTTTTGTTTTGTTTTTCATATTATTTACTTATTTTCCATCATGATAAGTGCAGCCATTAATCCCCATCCCCTATTTCTCCCATTCCCCCCCGCCCCATCCCCTCTGGTAACCATTAGTTTGTTCTCTATAGTTAAGAGTTTTGTTTTTTGGTTTACCCCCCCCCTTTCCTCCCCCCTTACCTTGATAATTTGTTTTGTTTCTTAAATTTCAAATATGGGTAAAATCATGTGGTATTTGTCTTTCTCTGACTGACTTATTTCACTTAGCATTATACTCTCTAGCTCCATCCATGTTGTTGCAGATGGAAAAAATTTCTTTTTTGGCTGAATAATCTTACATTGCATGCATTTGTGTGTGTACATATATGTGTGTGTACACACACAGACACATACATTTTGTTTATCCACTCATCTATCAATGGATACTTAGACTATTGTAAATAATGCTACTATAAACATAGGGGTGCATATATCCTCTGAATTAGTGTTTTTGTATTCTTTGAGTACATACCCACTAGTGCAATTGCTGCATAGTAGGCTAGTTCTACTTTTAACTTTATAAGGAACCTCCATACTATTTTCTGCAGTGGCTGCACCAATTTGCATCCTCACCAACAGTGTAAGAGGGTTCCTTTGTGTCCACATCTTCACCAACACTTGTCTCTTTTTTTTTTTAATTTTAGCCATTCTCACAGGTGTGAGGTGTTAACTCATTATAGTTTTCATTTGCATTTCCCTGATGATGAGTGATGTTGAGCATCTTTTCATGTGTATGTTGGCCAACTGTGTGTCTTTGGAGAAATGTCTGTTTATATCTTCTGAGCAGAAGACAATTTTTCAGTTGGATTATTTGTTTGTTGGGTATTGAGTTGTATCAGTTTGTTATATATTTATTTTTGTGTATGATGTAATAAAGTAGTCCGGTTTCATTCTTTTATGCTAGTACCATACTGTTTTACTGTCACTTTGTAATATAGCTTGAAATATGGAATTGTGACACCTCCAGTTTTGTTTTGTTTTTTCAAGATTGCTTTGGCTATTCAAGGTCTTTCATGGTTCTGTACAAATTTTAGAATTATTTATTCTAGTTCTGTGAAAAATGCTGTTGGTATTTTGATAGGGATTGCATTAAATCTGTAGATTGCTTTAGGTAGTATAGACATTTTAACAATATTTGTTCTTCCAACCCATGGCCACTGAATATCTTTCCATTTCTTTGCATCGTCTTGAATTTCTTTCATCAAATGTTTTATAGTTTTCAAAGGACAGGTCTTTCACTTCTTTGGTTAAATTTATTCTTAGATATTTTATTGTTTTGGGTACAATTGTAAATGGGAGTGTTTTCTTAATTTGATCTTTTTCCTGCTTCATTATTAGTGTAAAGGAACTCAACAGATTTCTGTACATTGATTTTGTATCTTGCAAGATTACTGAATTTATCAGTTCTAGTAGTGTTTTTGGTGGAGTCTTTAGAGTTTTCTAAATATAGTATCGTGTCATCTGCATATAGTGAGAGTTTTACTTCTTCCTTACCAATGTGGATGCCTTGTATTACTCTATATTGTCTAATTGCTGTGGCTAGAACTTCCAGTACTGTGTTAACTGAAGGTGACAAGAGTGGACACCCTTGGATTTTGATGATAAGGACCAGACATTGAGGTCACATTAGAGTTTGAGCTGTCAGATATGAATTTGAGACAAACCTTAACATTTACAAGAATATTTCTATTTAAACCAGTAAAATGCCATTCAACTAGTACTATAAAATAGATGTGAGAGTAGAGGTTTTTCATAAATTGGTACTTTGTGCTACCCTTGACTTTTTTTGAGGTATCAGTTATTTCAGTCTATAATTCTCCCCCCTTTTCCCCCTAATTTGTATTTTCTTGAGCTTATTTTCTGTATTCATTTTTGACCCCTTGGCTTTCTTCATTTCATTCCTCATTATTAAACTTTTCTTTATTGACCCTTGCACTAAGTCCTGTCTATTACTACCTACCACCACATTTGTCTCCTCTTCTCTGGTTTCTTCTCTGCTTCTCCCATTGTTCTTGATCTTGTAGTCCCTTTTCTTTCAGATTTTCTTCAGTCTCTGTTATATCTTTTTACCTCTACTCACCATTCTACCTTTTGTATGGAGATTTTCATCTTTATAGTTGACTGTCTCTTCAGTATGTAAACCTTTCCTCTTGCCTTATGATCTGTTCAATGTGTTCTGTCTTATCATCCTCATCTTCCATACTGTGATGCTATTTTACAAACATGCTAGCTAGTAAATAATCCATATATATTTCATTTGGATCATTCAATTTACCTTTCTTTTCTTTCTGAGCAGAGAACTAGTGAAATTGCTTTTCCATGTATTATTTCAGCTAAAGACACCAAAAATATCATTGTGAATTCAGCTTCGGGGCAAAAGACTTCTCCAGCCATAGGAATGCATTACAATATTTCTGACACCCTTCCTATGAATGCTTCCCAGAGTTTCATCTGTAGAAGAGCCTATGAACAAGATAACGGGTTTGAAAGAAGACAGAGAAACTCTTCTGGAAAAAAACAACATAAGTGTGATGAATGTGGCAAAGTTTTCAGTCAGAGCTCAGCCCTTATCCTACATCACAGAATCCACAGTGGAGAGAAACCTTATGCATGTGATGTGTGTGCAAAGGCTTTTAGCCGAAGTGCAGTCCTGATTCAACATCGAAGAACTCACACTGGGGAAAAACCCTACAAGTGTCATGAGTGTGGGAAAGCCTTTAGTCAGAGCTCAAATCTTCTCAGACATAGGAAAAGACACACTAAAGAAAAAGTCCCATCAGTGTTGTAAGGGAATCAGCTTTTGCTCAGAGCTTTGTTAGCGGGATAAGACAGAAAGCACAAACGCTCCTTTAGTATTTCAGTAGGTTTTAGTGGGAACTGGTTTGCTTTCAGAAGTCTTAAGAGCCACAAGAGAGAATGTAAAATGTTTGCTTTTCTGCAGTACAGTGTCAATTCAGACGTCTGAGATTCTAAAGCTTAATTCAGATTTTCATCTCTAGTGCAGCTCTTCAAAAGACATTCTCAACCATGTTCTATTTCCAGTACTAACACAAATGATGAACTAGTATATTTCTTTTTAGACAAATATATTTTCCCTGTTGAGAAGGAATCAGTATAAAAATAAGTGTTTTTTTCTGTCCCATAACTTGAACATTGGAGTTCTCAGACCAAAGATTAGAGCATTTAAAAAATTTTTACCATTTGTTTTCTCTTACCAGATTCAAAATATGAGAATAAGATTGAGGAGACACAAAAGAATTTATATCTTCAGACCTAGGATGAAATGTCCAGGTTCACTGTTAGAAGGTAGATGAGTAAAAGGACTTAATCTCTTATGAAAATTCACAAAAGCCTACATACAATTGATGATACTAAGTAGTTTCCTATGTAGGAAAAAAATAATCTCTTTTACCATGTAATTTGGAATAATTCCGTGAAAACATTAAGATGGTTCTACATGTCTTAAGGAGTGGCATAAACATAAGGAACATTCTACTAATAGGGCTATCTGCAGGTGTTTATATAAGGTTCATGATCATCTCAAAATGAAAAAAGGGAGATGAAAATACTGTCCAAGTAAGACTGATGTAACACAAATAGTAGCAGGTATGGCACATGATGGAGAAGTACCACACCTTAACTGGAAAAGGAAACCCTTAACAACTGACCGCTCTCCGTCAGTGTTCTTCATGACCCCTTTTCTGGCATAAATCGGCTGTGAATATGTTTCAGGCATCACAAGACAACCTTTTCAGCGTCTTATGCATTCTTAATAAGACTTGCTTCTAGACGAGTTGTCAGGACATGAGGCCCTGGGTTTTGATGCTCTGGTACAAAAGAAGAAAATACTAAATTTCAATTTAAAGAGTCCACTGAGTTTTACCCACATTTAAATCAATCAGATTTCTTCTTTAAAAATAAAATGACTGACTTGTATATTATTAAAATTATTCTGACCATATACAACATAATGTTCCCTTTTCTAGGGATTCTTGATAAAACTTTATTATAAGAATACACACATTATAATGTTTTTTGTCATGCCACAGTTAGCCAATATGGAAGCAAACATCAGAAATGAAAGTCTTGGGGTGCCTGGGTGGCTCAGTCGGTTGGGCGGCCGACTTTGGCTCAGGTCATGATCTCACGGTTCGTGGGTTCAAGCCCCACGTCGGGCTCTGTGCTGACAGCTAGCTCAGAGCCTGGATCCTGTTTCAGATTCTGTGTCTCCCTCTCTCTCTGACCCTCCCCTGCTCACGCTGTCTCTCTCTCTCAGAAATAAAAATTAAAAAAAAAAAAATGAAAGTCTTAGGAGAAAGGAAGAGGGGACTCATAGTGAACTTTTTTTTTTGATCGGGTTCCTTGTGAAGTATGAACATTGCATTATCAAAAATTCCAACCGTATCTAGTGCTTAGAGTAACTCCAGAAACAAATATGGGATTACTGTACTCTACTTAGAATATTAATGACATAAGATTGTTAAGGAGAAAGGTGAATATAGATTGTAATTACAGAATTTTCTGATCGTGATTATTCTTTGTAGCTGTAGTTATTAGGAATATAGGGTTTTGTATATCTTCAGTTATTAAAAGTGTAGGAGTCTTTATTTGGGCTCATTTTCTCTGTAATTAAAGAAAGGAACAAGCCATTAGTAAAACAGCAAATGCCTCAGATATGTGTATTGTGAATTATTGATTAATTATGGAAAGACAGAATTTCTTGTTACTATGAATAAAATGACAGAATCTCAAGTGTTCTGAGAAAGTTGTCTTCACTTGGTACTGCCATAAACCTTAAAAGATTGTATTCTCTGCATTGTGAATAATCTGAATTTCTCCACCAGGAGGTGGTGTGAGTCATATCTTCCAAGTACATGATGGAACTTTTAAGGCTGTTGCTGTGTACTGAGTTATCTTACACTTACAGAAATCACCTAATGAGTAGAAGGTGCTAGTTTATTTAAATAGAGAATTAACATGACTTGGGCTAACCTTGATTTTAAAAAATAACATGATATTAGCACCTCCATTAGATTAATTTCCAGATACTGAATACTCCCAAATGAAATTGGTATTTTTAAGAATTTTACTTCATGTTGGCCTTTAATATTAGCTATAATCCTGTGTTCCCTCTTTACCTCTTTCTCATTCTCTTCAGAGACCAGATGACATTTATCACTGTCCTTAAACCTACCTGTATCAGGAATGCTTCTGGATGCAAAATCCACCTTTGATGGTTTAATCAAGTAAGACCTTGTAACCAGAAACCTGGAGATTAGTTGATGCTGGCTATCAATCAGCAGCTGAACAACGACTGGTCAGGAGGTGGTCTCCACCTTTTGGTCATTCCCCCATGCTTATTTTATCAGATAGGGAAGAGAGCTGTCCCAGCTCCAGGAATGACATCCAGGGTCAAGTCAGGAAGAAAAAGGAAGTGGAACTCCAGCAATGGCCAGCTCCTTTACTAAGAAAAGTAAAAGATCTCCAAGAATCCCCAGCAAAATTCTGCTATGTTTCCTTTTCGCAAATGTGTTTCAGAAAGCATTGTTTTTCAACCTCTAGAAGGAAAGCATCAGGACAGGTGGGGATTGGCAATGACATTGGGTCAACCAACAATGTTTGCTATACTCCTTGGCCACCTTTTTCATGGGCAAATAGCTATGATTTTGCATCCTGCATTACAAGGGGAAAAAATAACTTAAAACCTCCTGCCATCAAATTTGCCAACCTATCTACACTTCACCCATTGTTTCACTTCTTCAGAATGAAAGAGGGATCTCACTGGCCCTTCATCATTTTTTCCCACATCTGAAGGACCTTGGCTGCCATTAGTTATTACCTCTCTTATTTCTAAATCCTTTGCCTTCCTTGAGGATCCTTTTCTTCAATATTTAAAGGTGGTGATGTGACTGACCCTCCAACTCGATACTTTTCTGGTGTATCTTTACAAACTTTGAGATGGTAGCTAATCCCTGGGTGCGGGGGAGGTCAAAGTGGCTTAGCTTTGACTTTCTACGCATCCATTTTTTTCAACCAGAATGATCTTTCAAGAACGTATATTTGATCATTTTACTTCCTTGGTCAAGACATAAGCTTCCCATTGCTTTTAATATAAAGTTAACTCCTAAAAGTTTTTGAGGCTTTTCATGATCTGACCACAGCTTACCACTTCAGCTTTATCTCTTGCCATTGCCTCCATACTCTATGCCAAAGATATTCTGAATTTTCAGAAGTTCTCCTGCCTTTAGCCTTTGCATGTTCTCCTTTTGAACTCTTACTAGCTTCTTGCACTTGACTCCTATGTATTCAGATTTTAGCTTAGGCTTCTTCAAGGAAGCCTACCCTAACACTCTGAAAGTAGGCTCGGGATCACTACCACACCCTTCTATTCATTACATAGCAGTCTGTTCTTACTGGTATTACATGTATTATCCAAAATATTTTTAAAATATCAAGCTGCAAATATGGCTCCAAGGAAGAGGAGGATGAATGATATTTTGGGGAGAAAGAAGACATGACATAAATGAAAAGCCCTCCTGCCCCTGGTAGTGATGAGGCAAAGAGAAGGTCAGACACAGGTGTCCCTTCACCTCTGCAGCCAATCCCTGCAGAAATGCCAGAGGGTATTGAAAGGGGAGAGGGCTGCAACCCCTTCCTATTGATTGCATTGGGAGAGCAACTGCTGAACAGACTTCCTGTTTTCCAACACTGGACTATTGTAAAAAATGGCATTGCAGTGCTAGGCAAAGGGCCTCTAGCAGCTAACATCTAACTTAGAAGACATGCCCAATTTTCCATGCCCAATGGGGACCTTGGTAAAAAGCCAATTGATTGCACCACCTAGAGAGTTGGGACTGTTGCACAAAATAACTTTGTGGATCTTATAGGTAAGCGCTGCAGGACCCAGTGGGCCCAGAATCAGCTGAGAGTCTCAGCCACAACTTACAGGGTGGTTAGAACCAATGTGGAGACAAATTACAAAGGAAGGGATACCACCTTCCTGCCGAGTCAAAAGAATCATTGGGTTGCAATAAATTTGATGAGCAAGTACAACGGTAGACCAGCTGTGAAGACTAGAGACTAGAAAAGGACTGCAAGTCCAACTGAGACCTAATCTACAGCACCACCTCACCTAAGAAGATGGAAACCCCCTTCTCAGGTATCCAGGTGGCAGAAAAGGGCAGAGCAAGAAATAGCCCTGTTAGGAAGTTGAACTTAAAATGGAATGAATAATTATATTCTTCCACTACTACCACCACCCACCTGATGGGGTGGAGATTCAAGAAGCAAAAACAACAGTTCTAAGAAATTAGCTCTCTTTTCCTTTGCATATTTGAATAGAATTGTGATAACTTTTTACCCTACTAAGTGGATACTTATATCTGCTTCTGTGTTCACCCTACTATTTTATGTTTCTTGAAAGCATGAACTGACTCATTCACTGGTGTTTCTGAAGCATCTGGCACAGTACCTGACCCATAGAAGGCACTTTTAAATACTTGTGAAATGAAAACATTTACAAATTATATATCTGATAAAGGATCAATATCCAGAATATATAAAGAACCCCTACAGCTCAACAATAACAACAACAACAAAAATCCCAAACAATCCATTTCAAAAATGGGAAAGAACATGACTAGATCTTTCTCCAAAGAAGATATACAAATGGCCAATAAGTACAAGAAAAGGTGTTCAACATCACTAATCATTGGGGAAATGCAAATTAAAACCACAGTGAGATACCCCTCATACCCATAAAGGTGTCTTTGATTAAAATGCAAAAAATAACAAATGTTGGCAAGGATGTGGAGAAATCAGAACAATTGTGCATTGCTGATGGTAATGTGAAATAGTGCAGCCATTGTGGAAAACAGTTTGATAGCTCTTCAAAAAGCTGAACATACAATTACCACATGATCGAGCAATTCCACTCCTAGGTATACACCCAAAAGGACAGAAAGCAAGGATTTAGCTGGATATTTGAATACCCTGATATTAGGAGTATTATTCACAGTAGCCAAAAGGTAGAAATAACCAAGTGTTCATTAATATATCAGTGGATAAGCAAAATGTGATATTTATGTATGCTTACACACACACACAGTGGATATTATTCAGACCTGAAAAAGCAATGAAGCTCTGATAATGCTACAACATGGATGAAACTTGAAAACATTATACTAAGTGAAAGAAAAACACAAAAAGAGAAATATTTTATGATCCTATTTATATGAGGTACTTAGAATAGGCAAATTTATAGAGACAAAATAGACTAGTGGTTATCAGTGTTGGGGGGAGAGAAGAATGAGGAGTTGTTTAATGAGTACAGAGTTTCTGTTCGAGGTAATTAAAAAGTTCTGGAAATGGGTAGTGTGATTGTTGCATAACATTATGAATGTATTTAATGCCACTGAATTGTACACTTAAAAATGGCTAAAATGATAAATTTTATGTATATTTTATCACAATTAAAAACAAAAGCATTTGGGGGAAACAAAGAGGAGATTACTTTTATGTAATCCCTGTCCTAATAAAGTTTCTATTCTAGCAAAAGTAGAAATAAAAATCCTATGGAATGAATGTTGTTGAAAGGCAGAGGATCTGTAAGATACAATCCAGACAAGTGTTTAGTGAAAGGACTGACTGAATGTAAGCCCAAATAATGTTCTCTTTTCCACTAACATTGAGGACAAGCAAGGATGAGACTCTGCTAGCAGCCCTAAAAGAAGATTTGGATGGCGATATAGACAAATCCTGGATGGCTAATAAATAATATTAAAATTAGTTGTAATTTCCATCTTGAATTCAAAGTATTTTCTGATATAAATCTATATGCTAAATTAATTGTTGATTCCTAAAATTTTACCTAATGTATGTATTTATCTCTTAATCTTACTTGAATTTGAATTTAGCTCAGATTAACTAGCTTGTCTACAAATCAAGAATTATTTTTATTTAAAGGCTAGAATCACATTGGTTAGCAGCTTATATAATATGTGGAGCTCTAGTGTCTGAGCTAATGATCAGCAGGTAAAGATCTGCCATCTTTTCCTCTGCAACTTGTCTAGCTCTAGTACATGGCAGGAG